CACGTATCTAGTAGGCAGGATAATATTAGCTTCTTGCAGCTCATTTAGCCTTTGCTGTGATTTGTTGAATTGTTGGAAGAACAAATTGTTGGTGGTGATTTACAAAATAATTACTTCTTTTTATATATGTAATATAGGAAGAGTAATGGAAACCACATAAAACATTTAATTTTGTCTGCATTCCACAGGTAAATTAGAAAATGGTAGTAAACTGTGTTTTACTGAAATATTTTAAATAAGAAAAAAATAAAAAAGAGGTATGTTTTACATGGTCTCCATTCTTCCACTAATAGTAGTGTTAACAAAACAAATTAACAAAATAATTGAAAATTAATCAAATAAAAGGTGAGGATCAGTGAGTAATATTAATCTTATGTATAAAACATAGATAGATGAAAATGAGATATAAAAATACATCATTTTGTGGATTTTGACTATATATGGATATCAACATTTCATGACCAGCTGAATAAAAACAGGCAACACGAGCCTTTGACAGAGGTAAAGAAAAGATAACTGACACAACTCCAATTCTGTAAAATGCAGCCAGTCCTGTCCTCAGTTTTACCATGTCAATAAAATGTCTGATGGATCACAGTAAACGGACCTCGCACAGCCCACAGGAACACAACGTTAAAAGGAAAACTGTCATAATTATGCCCATGCGACCTTTTTAAGCTCTATCCGTATGCACCATACTACCCATTGCACCATCAGCATGAAGTTTGTCAGCTGAACCTAAATTTAGGTGTCTTTTATCAGACATCCGCAGTGACAAAAAGTAACTGAGGGAAAAATACACAAAGAATATAGGCTGCTGTGATCTCTCACCACCGTATACAGAAAACCAAATGAAACGCTTATCACAAAATCTTCGACACTAGCAGGTTTCCAGAAATATGAATTCATAAACATTTATAGTAGTAGTAAAGTATTTAATGTCCATGTATAGAAAGTATTGAGGGTAAGAAAGTCTATTTATTGTTATTTGGTAATGTGGTTGACAAGCAGCTTCCCAAAGGTCTTTGTTAACTTCTGCCACAGAAGCCAGTGGAGAGACAATCATTTTCATGGGAGGCTCCCAGCATGAATAGAACAGGGATGCAGAGCTTCGATGAGATCGTTCCAATAAAAAGAAAGAAATGTGCAGTATCCTTTGTGGGGTTTTTCCATTTGTTGACGACTCTGCGAGCAGTTGAGAGTGTGTGTTGACAGTGTAGGACGAGCAGTGCGGCAGCCAGTGATCACTTTCCTTAAAAGGCCGAACTGTTCACTGTGAAATCAAACAAAAAACACAAAGAATGTGGATGGAGAGACTCGTCTCAAACCCGACAGCGCCACCTGCTGTTTGTATGTGCCTTGTCCTCAGTGCTCAAGTTTACACCACCCGTTCTCGCTGTGTAAAGTGTACAGGTTGGACAACTGAAGATAACCAAACTGACAGAGTAATTATTAAATGTTTAAGCAGAAAAGGCAAACGCCGTCCATGGGCCACTCCCTCATTTTTTTCACATGAAATATAAATAGGCGCATCATTTTTTCGATTTTCGTGGCTTTCCAAAGTTTAAAAATGAAAATCGTTTCTTGACAAGCGCTTGATGAAGTTGGAGAACAGATTTATAGTTTTTAATCAAATATTGAAATTTGAATGAGTCACAGATATTTCTGGCGATGTTTCATTCAGAAAAGGGCGTGGACAGTCATGTCAACCCAGAATCACAATTTATTGCATTTAAACTATTCTTTATTATGTGGAAGGACACGTTAAAACTTGTAACGGAATGAATCAGTTGGCGGCTTGAACACGGACACTATCAGAATCACAGAAAATAAACCGGATCCCTTTTATCTGAATGTCAAATCACAAGTCACTTTACAGCCCTTTGAACAAACTAACAAAATCAAAAAAAGGTCATTATGTGCAAGCACACACTCACACGGATACATCATGCCCCATTAGCCTCCACTGAGCAAATATAAACTAAACCTGTACGCATACATCGACACACTTAAAAAAAATCCATCTGTCCTCTTTGAAGAGGAACTACAAAGCAAAGACTGGCGCTGGTCCAGAGGAAGTGGCCGCACATCGGCCTGGATCTTCCCTCGCGGCCTCTTGTCAGATGGAAGGCACCACTTAGAAAACTAGCGGCCTTTGCCTTCGTCCATTGCAACACACACACACACACACACACACACACACGTGGGCAAACAATGCAACTGCGTTCTGCAGGTGCACACGTTTGCACACAAAAAAACAGCATCACGTGGTGGTAAAAGGCCCGGCCATGAGAGACCAGCAGGAATAGCAAACCGTCCTGGCTGGAGAGAAGAAGCGAGAGAGAGAGAGCAAAAGAGGGAGTGAGAAAGAAGACAAGAGTTATGAGCGAGGTGAGAGTGGAGGATGATGACACACACAGAGAGAAGGGGAGTATGGAAGTGACAAAAAAAACAACCAAGAGGAGAGGACGTGGGTCAGAAGGTGCAATGAAAGAGAGCAAGAAAAAACAAGAAAAGAAAATGGAGTCAGGTGAGGAGGACGGGGTGCGTCCCAGTGGAGGGAATGGCCACCGTGGGGGGGCAGAGAGGAGAGGACAGAGGGGGAATTGCCTGTGGCACGCATCCCTTTTACAGGGGTCACCACGGATACGCGGCGACTTAAATGCACAGACGCACACACACATACACACGCTAATCCCGTTCCCAGCTTTTTAATCTGCACCCATACATGGAATGTTCTAAGGGCATTTTGAGATCATCAAATCAATACGAACGTGGCCGTGGTCGTATCAGTGCCGGTTAAATATTTATACAGCGGACAATCCACACAATTATGCCTTCTGGTCATGTTGGTATGTGTGCCCACGCTGCCTTAATCCCAGTACCCAGAGAATCACATCGACGGACTAACAGGAGAGCGGAAACACGAGGATCCGATCGATCAACATCGGAGTTCTTAGCAGTGATGCTGAGGATTAAGAGAGCTTATAAATGTTTCATTCAAAGCCGGACCAGGATGAAACGGTAGAAAGGCCCCCGGCTCGCTCTCCTCCTCCTTTAGCTGTTGGTTCTCAGCTGTATTGTGACAGCCACTACAGATTGTCTCACTAGCAACTACAGGCCGTGCCCTTGTGCCTACACATCATTAGATCTCCATCTGTCATCTTACTAACAGGTTCCCACTAATTCCCAAGGACTCACTCCATTGCATTCCTATCCAACAGCCAGCAGCAGTCAGCTGCAGACTAGGATCCCGACCCGTTCGGTCCGGAGCCTCTCTTCTCTTTCACTTTTTTCTCCTTATAGCTTCATCCCTCTCCTCTTGCATCCTGTTTGCCAATCCTCGCCTCGAGATTCAATGCTAGCGTCAACAGTCAACAGCGTATTAGCAAGTACGGAGGTTTGAGCATGTGTGAGAGACAGGTCAAACACGCATATACAATACAAACCGAAGCTTCCGGACGGAAGCTGCTTCTCATAGCAGCTCACATGGAACACAGGCACACAAAATCAATATCAATACTGCAAAATGTTGCAGATGAATGGATCTGCAACATTGACGTTTAAAATACAAATTATAATGAGAAAGCACAGAAAGATGTAGTGGCTAATGGCAGCGACGTTGACACCGGTCCCAGCAAATGGGCTTTGTGGCTGTGTGTGTAACTCTATCTGTAGAGGGGGAATACAGCAGTGGTTGGGTAATGGAAAGGTCATTTAGCCAATCCCCCAGGTAGGGGGGCCGGTCTGACACGGCTCGTTTGTCACAGTTCAATAACTGCCACTCCAGGGAGTGTGAGGGAGAGAGAAAGAAAACGAGTGAGAGAGGGGTGGGACACTTAAGTGTATTTGTGTGTGAGTGTGTGGCCTGGCGTACCCTGGTGTGTGATAGTGTGCTCAGACGCAGGCAGCACAGCTGATTCCCAGAGCTTGTCCCTCCATTAGAGGCCTCAAACGGGGTCACAGCAAAGGCCAAGCACCACAGAGTCAGGCATCTCGACTTGAAAACTCGTTGGGAGCCTCGGCCTCGGACTTAAACCGCTAAATGTTTCTAAGTGGGACGACGGAATTAATATAATTGTAAATGGACGAAATGCTCACTCCATAAGGATAGATAGCTGGCCAGGAATGAACTAACTTCCTTCATTTGAAGTATCGGAAAAATTCATTCATTTATAAGAAGTCTATTTTGTGGGTAAATGGTTTTCACAGGAAATTATTCTTGAATAAATCATGCAAAATAAGATCAAACCAAACAGTCAATAAATCAAACTGGCCAGTGTAATATATGTAGAATTGCACCTCAAAGTGCTTCATTATTTATTTATTTTTATTTTATTGTCAGTTGGCTGTATTGATCAGTACTGTCCCTTTTACAACCTCTGTCTCGTAAGATGTGTGAATGATCTCTCCAAAGATTTTCACACGTTTCATTGAGTGACGGGTGAGAGACACCACACTCTGTCCTTCTGCTCACTTTGAAAATCAATAATTCGCTTCTAGGTTGACGTGTCCACATATCGTCCCAGAAAGACGCCTGAGGCACAGATTTGTTTTCAGCTCAACCGGATTGAAGGATTTGTGATTTTATCTTGGGCCCCAGAGATTTAAGAACTACCGACTCCATAATGGAAGGGTTTCATCCCATGTAATACTTGGAGGCTTCTTTGATATTTTTTAGAAAGGTCTGTGTCTCCCTCTTGTGTTCATCACAGGAATGCGCACGACAACGTTCTTATATGGACATTAAATATGCGTTTATATGTAACATATATTCTTACATGTGTTACATATCCAAGATAAAATCACGAATATATATATATATATATATATATATATATATATATATATTTGTGATATGATGTTGGATTATATATATATATATATATATATATATATATGTAACACAGCCATCTGAAGCTGAGACTTTTGAGTTAGAGATGCCGTGTCACACATTGGCTGAGCTGGCTGCGGTCAGTGACATCATGGGACAGAAGCTCTTCCTCATTCTTAATGACTCGCCGACAGTCAGGCTGCTTACCGCCTGAGCACAGTTTAGTTGGCCCAAAACAACTTTATTCAAGTTGTCGGTGAGCGATTGACTTCAGTGACAAAGAGGTGAATGAAGTTCAGGCTGAGGAAGGGTTCCGTGCACGGAGGAAACAACTGAGATGACACCTTTGATGTTTAAAGATGCTTTCTGGGTGAGTTGGGTTTTGGTGCTCTAACGTCTCGCTGTGGTTGGAATTAGTCCTTGAAACTGAAAGTGCAGGGGGTCTTTGCAGTCTCGCTGTCATCAAAGTTCATTTTCCTTATTTTAGAATTCACGTTGAGTAAAAGTAAAAGTGCCTAAAAAAGAATTGACTACCATTAAACTCCCCACCAGTGACAGTGTAGGAGTAAATGTACATGTTATAAAATAAAAATGCCTTTAAGCCTTAAGTCCTCTCAATACACAAAGAGAGTACTTAAGTACTAAGTTACCTCAATGCATCAAACTACTTACTGTCAATCTGCTCCACTCTTGGCAGAATGGCAGTTTCATGAGGTTCCGAGCATGCTGCATTTCATAAAAACTACTTTTTGCTCAATGCTAGTTCTGCTTTTTAACCACACGGGTTCCCCAGGATTGAGTCAATAACTTGTTGCAACTATTGTTGATAAATCTCCAGTATCCAGTATTCCTCTAAACCTTTTCTACGTCTTCCAAATACAGGGGTCCAGCTTCACCTGTCACGCCGGGTACGACGCTGTAATCCAAAGGTTGCGAGATGGAAAGCAAATGTGTAAAGATGTGGAGGAGCTTTTAAAGATGAGGTAACCGAAACCATCACAAAATTCAAAATGATGTCGTGCAATTCTGTTACCATAACATGTATCATACAGCACCACAACTGCGTGACAAGTCGCGCGTCCCGTTTTGTTAGGACAAAGACAACGCAGTTCACACGGTGTTGCATCTGTGTTCTTACTTCTCAGGACGCTCGCAGAGGAGAAGTATGGGAAGGAACTGGTGACTATTGCCCGCAAAGCGGGGGGACACACAGAGATCAGGTAAACACATCCGCATCCTGGTTACGAGTCGTGCTGTACACTTTGTATATAAGACAGCATACCCCATGTGACTCGTTGACACGCCAGTCATGGGTCTGTGAGTGATTTCTTTGTTTAAAAAGGAAACAACATGATTTGTGTGTGAGATGGAAAGAGAGAGAAGGGAAAAGAAGGTTTGCTGTGTGTTAATGTATCGATCCGACTGCCTACTGCCTACTTATACTGTATGTTGCCCGACTTCCTGTTCCCGTCGTGTCACAAGCAGTCAGACATTTACTTCTTACCGTCTTAAATGTGCATTGCTCTTCCAGCACCCTGAGAGCAACCTTTGACCTATTGAAGACAGGTAAGTCAACGAAGCCACGGACAAATCACACCAAGGTGCTAAAAAGTGCTGCGTTCTTTTTCTGTGTCTGTGAATGTGTAGAAGTGATTAATTTAGGTGTTTTTGGCTGCAGAAATTGAGAACGTTGGTAACTTTCACATCCAGCTGGCCGATATACTGAAAGAGGAGGTGAAAAAGATTGAGACATTCCGAGAACGGCAGAAAGAACACAGGAAGAAGGTATTTAACTGTACAGTATAGAGTTGAGGTTTCATTTCCCTGATGACCATGATGTAACGTTTGCTGGCTTTCTTCAGCTTGGCTTTATTCTTATACTTATGTGAAGATTGTATCCCTTGCTAAGATTATTTAAATCCCTTTTTTGGGATAATACACATTTATAGATATTTACAAACCATGTAATCACAAAGAAATGCAGGCACCACTCGAATTCTTAAGAGTCCACATTAAACATTCCATTTAGGTGAAGTTAGATGAAGTTAGATGAATAGATGAAATTTCACCATTGTGCTTCTGCTCATAGTTCCAAAGCATCATGGAGAAGGTTCAGAAGAAAAAGGTTTCTTTGTACAAGAGGACGGTGGAAGTAAGTGACATCATAAGATGATGTCATTTCATTTAAGACATTTGGCATCAAATCAACAATCCAACACGACTTTTTTTTGTCATTGTTGAGCAGTTTTCGTGGACTGGTTTCTGTTTCTTACAGTCTAAGAAGAACTATGAGGCGAGATGCAGAGAGGCGGACGAGGCAGAACAGGGAGCCGAGAAGACAACTACTTCCTGCAAAAACTCAGAAAAGGTTTATTAAGTAAACTGGCCCACTAGAAGTGTGATGCAGACCAGTTGGCAGTTTTAAGGAATTCAAACATTGACTTACATGTGGCATTTTGCTTTTTACCCCAAACTGCAAGTTTACTGGTGAAACTTCCCTGTAATTGGGCACAGTGATGCAATAATGCAACGTCTAGCAAAGAGGAACTGAAGTATGTTTAACAGCCAGTTTAACATCGGAAGTCAGAATTTTTAGTTAATTCAATCCATGGCATATCCCCCAAATGACTACGATAATCTTTAGACTTTTGCATAGTAAAGAAAAGGGCCAAAGACATATTTTGGAGGGTCTAGCATACTTGGGCCGTATGATGTTTTAATTTGAAGAAGTCTCAGCAGTTTCTGACAAGAGCTTGTTTCACTTGCCATGTTTGTTGTTTCCTTCGTTTTTATTATTCATACAACTTTATTCTCAGATGCGTAACAGGGCTAAGCAATGCAGACAGACAGCCAATGAAGCAGGTAAGGCCCACAAGCATGTTTCATCTCTACAATTTCTATATTGAACCTGCACAACTAAGCCTCTATCTTCATACAACTTCCAGTACAGTCATCACATATTATAGAAGCTGCGAAAGAAATTTGCACCTTGCAGGCTTTACAAATGAACTTGTGTTTGTTGCTGTGTTTCATTTCTTTACTACAAACATATCTAATCACTACAATCGCTCACAGAGAAGCTGTACATTGCCAACATTGATCAGCTAGAGAGTGTTCGGCGGGACTGGAAGGAAACACACAAGAGCACATGCGAGGTAAAGTGGACTACATTCTCTATAACACGCGCTGCTGTCTGTCTTAGTCATAAACCACGACGAGGGCTTCTAGCCACACAGACTAGAACTCGTAATCGTCACATCCTCTGCTTCACCGCTGACAAGTGAGGAACTACACATCTTGCAGTCGGCATGCTAAAAATGGAACAATAATAAACCCACAACCATGTTCAAAGTTGAGCTCTGCTGTGGTTTTTTCGATGTACATGTTTGCAGTCAGCCATTTCTAATACAGCGATCTGATACTGCCGGCGTGGTGTCATGCAGAATAACAAGTGGTGAAGAAATGAAAAGTCATTGGTACAGTAGAAACAGAGTGCATGTTTCTCAGGTGTTCCAGCAAATGGAGGGAGATCGAATCCGCATGCTCAGGTGTTCTCTGTGGGACCACTGCAACCATTTATCCATGCAGTGCGTCAAAGATGATGAGGTGAGCTCACTTTCTTTAGTTAAATACATTTAAATGGATATAAACTCTACTTAAAAAGGGACAGTTCATCCCAAAGTCAAAAATGCACGTGTAGTGATATTAACAATGTAGATAGTTTTGATGTCAATTGCAAAGTTTTGTAGTTGGGATTCCCAGAGATCTTTACCGTCTCTGGAACATACTAGTTTCACGTAGGAACCATGATTGAAATGATATAGTTCCTACTCCTACTTTCTACTGAAACTGCTCAAGGCCTTTGGATTGGGTCCAGTAACACAATTTTCTGAAGATGATTCAAGCGTGAACCAAAAGCACGTTTCAGCATTTGGTGGATGAAGTCTACAATTTGAGAGAATGGCCTCTTGTTTTTCAGTTTATGGAGGAGGTGAGGCAGCTGCTGGAAAAGTGTGACATCACCACGGACAACAACCATTTCATAGGGATGAAAGCCACAGGATCGAAGCCTCCAGGTAGGAGACGAGCCGGGTAGATTGACCTTTACCCTTCGGAGCAACCAAAGAAGGGGCCGTCGCCAGAGAACAGGATCCGCAGCGCTGCTCAACTTCTCGCTCGTTTCTCTTTCCCTCACACAGAGCCCTTATTGTTTGAAAGCTACTACCAGGCGACAACATCCCGGGACGGCAATCCAAGCCAAGCTTATGCTGTGGTCGGTGAAGAAGACGCTGTGATGAGGTCTGACACACTCCACACTGTGTGGTACTGTCAATAAGACAAGGCTATCTCCTCCTAGTTTCTAACGTACCTTTATCCGTTTTAAAAACTACAAAAAGAAAATGTGTATATCCTAAATTTGTACTCTGACCTGGATCAATCAGGTGCTCTGGTCCCCTTCTCGTAAGTCCTGGGAACAACGGCGTAGACGATCTTCAAAACTCACAATCGTCCATGACTCCTTCTGGCGAGTGTAAGTAACTAATTCCCTTTCGAGCTCTCTTTTCGACCACAGTATTGAGGGGAGCAATCAGAAACTAGCTTACTTGTAGTCATAGTGCTATCTATTTAAATATGAATTTACATTTAAATTTGACCTTAAAGCAATCACAATAATTATCACACAAAGCTTAGATGTGTTGAAATAATTGAGTCGGTTTCATACAGTTCAAATAGATATGGCGAATTCAATTATGAAATAGATAACTATTGAATACTTGCAAAACACCACACACATTTTATTAAGGTAGACCACAGACCACATATATTAGCACAATCTATTCAATATACTATCGCTTACTTTCACTCTGCCTTCAGTTGACATTTCAGACGGCGGGTACGCGCCCCTACGAGGCCTCCAGTATGCAGCCACGGTGTCAGCTGATGGAGACAGCTACATCGTGCTTTATGATTACACGGGCAGGGTGATTATTACGACACATTCTCTTGTATTGTAACACTGAGAGGACATGAAGTATACCATCAATGCGTGTACCATTACAGCACTGTACTCCCAATGGTGCAGAATGTAGGTACACAGGTAAGAACTTTCAGCGATAAAGGCTCCTTCAACGGAACCCTCTTTGTAATCATTTGTCGTCTTTGTGCGTGTCGACTTGTCAGGAAGCGGACGAGCTGTCTGTCAGTATAGGCGAGGTGGTCCGAGTGTTGGAGCAAGGAGAAGATGGCTGGTGGACAGCGGAGAGGGACGGGCTGACCGGACTGGTGCCAGGAAACTTTCTGGGAAAGATGTGACCGACGCACCGGAGCTGAACATTTGGATGGAACGTTTTGAAACAGCTCACAAGTGACTTTGCTCATTTCACATTTACCTCACTGTCAACAACACAGTAATCCAAACTGGGATGGTTCCTCTTCTCTATTCACCGCTTGCACTGACCATTTGGGCAGCTAAGCTAATTTTGCTCCTCTGCCGATGCTGCATTTTCTTACTGCTTTCATGTTTGGTATTTCCTCCCGAGATATCCCCTTCATCTTCATCTTTAAAACCCTAATCTGCACCTGGTGGGTCGTGAGGTGTTTGATGCAGTTGTTCCTCAAAAGGCAGACTTTCCAATGTGTGCCGTAAAAGTTAATTCACGTAGCGTCAGATTGGCATTAGATGACTTGTTATAGAGCGTATTTAGCAAAGATGGCCCGCATAATGATGAGCAACATCAGGTGATGTTCTCTGCCTTGCTTCATCCGTTATTTTAAGAACTGCGTAATTCTTCACCACGAAAACCACACGAGATGATCCAGTCGTGCACAGAATCGATGGCCGAGGAAATGGTGGTAGACGGGTCATCAGATAGCTGATTGATTTGACAACAAACACCCCGTTTTGTAGAAAATCATTTGTAATATTTAGTGCTTAAATGTTGGCTAATATTATCGTTTAATCAATGAATACATATTGTGTGATTGATAATAATAAAGCTTATTTATTTAAGAAATACTAAGATGAGTGGCAAGGTTTTTCCCAGGCAGACATAAAAAGGAGAGCACACTATACAGATACTGATAAATATATATTTATGAACTAACATGGACCAATCTGAACTACGCGTAGCCTACGGATCGGATCTAACAGGAAGCAACTTTCTGTAAGTTCCTGTTAAGGCGTCTGAAAACTGTCCGACTCGTCCGTAGCAGGCAGAGTTCCCTCAATGCGAGTCATTGAGGCAGATTGAAGGTCACAATACAATGTATGTCTGCGGTCCATTAGGCACCTGTAACTCCTTTAGAAAATAAACTATGTATAGCCTGTAGATGTCTACACATACTCATATGTGTCATGCAACTGAGGAAATATAAAATGATGACCGGCAACATACTCACGTTCATGTAAATGAAGTTAAACAGCCATGTTGAAATGTACGACTTTATTTGTATCTTGACTGTTGTACAGTGTATAGCTAATTGTGTTTGTCATGATTTTTTACTGCGGCACCAGCTAAATGTCTAGGGGTCAACTTAAAAGATCAAAAATATTAAAACGGTGCACACTTTCACAAATACGTACAAAATAATGTGTCATAATTCGGATAGCAGGGATATAACCAACAATATAAACAAAGGGATTGTAACAAACTGAATCTACATATACAGGTCTTTAGGTACCACTGATAACACTCTGCTAATAATAATAATAATAGCACTGGAGACTAAATGGTTCATTCACAATTAACTCAGAAAAGATCTACACCACAACAGAACATTATTCACAACCTGAATATTTGTGATTATGAAGGAGTTTTTCTTTCAAACATGGCTTTGAGAGATAAAACAAAGCCGTTCCAAAACCATTAAATCTGTTTTGTCTGTGGTAAAATCTTGTTTTTCCCATTTTCTTATTAACCAAGTTTCACTTAACAGCCAGGAGAAACGTCCACGCGCTGTTGACGTGGTGCAAACGAGCACACAAGGAAATACATTCTTATTACGCTCCATATGACTTCTCAAACTCCTTCCTGGGGAGTTTCATCAAGCCACATTTAAAGAAAAAAAATGCAACATCAATAATGTCAGCCATATACAACTCTGGCCACTGTAACTATTTAATTATTTAAAAAGTGAAGAAAAAAAACAAACATTTAAGTAACAGTAACTTACAAAGCAGGTCAATAAATAACTAGTTTCCCCTTGAAGCAAACCGCATCACCGGTGTTCGCTACTTCATCGTGAATTGTGCAAGGTGTGCTTGAGCTTATGTAACTACAGCCGAACTCTACTGTGGACACGCCTAGTGATGCTCCTTTCGATTTATTGAGCGCCTTGTTGGTTTGATGCCTCGCTCACGCGTAGCTGTTGGTCGTGACCAGCAGCTCGTACGCGGGGTCGTGGCTCCTCCTGCACAGCACCACGCAGGCGCAGAGCATCCCCAGCATCTGCAGGCAGACGGCGAAGCTGTTATATGGGTCCTCGTGCGTTTCGCCAAACTTGGCAGGGAAACCACATGAGCAAGAGCTCAACGATCCGTTATTTCCTAGTTCTCATCAAGCATCCCGATCTTTTTTTTCATGTAAATGCCAGAAAGCGCGATATTTTTACGTGCACGTGACGCATGCTGTGTTGTGATGAGACGGTTTGAGTGTAATTACGAGTGATTGGCCGTGCTGTCGTTTTTATGGTCAGTGGAATCCATGCTGAGCTTTTAAAGTCGCCAAGAATGATTTGACACGATTAGGTCAGAGGTGCTGTTGGCTCCGGTTGCTTTAAGACAGCCGACTGCAGCTTTAATTATTCTCCCAGTGAACAAGCTGCTTTTGACTCAGGATAAGATGACTTATGTGCATTTTCTGCAGTGAGACAGAAATATGTTGTTAATGAAGTAACCTTATTGTGATACTGATCCTTTCTTACGTTTAGGATTCCTGCCCCATTGTGACATTCATCTTTGCATGTATTTCAAACTTGTGGCCAGGACGCATTTGCCAAGCCAGAGATTGTTTTAAACCTGTCTGGCTGCTTGCACTGATCGACTGCCAAATATAGTTATATAGTGTTTTCCCTGATGGTTTTAGGGAGCATTGAAGTTCTCCTACTTACCTGTATAGACGCGAAAGTGAGTGCAGCCCATATGACATACATCATGATCTCCTTTAACTTTTTCACAACAAGAGCCTCACAACCCTACAGAAGAAAATGAATGACATTAAGATCATTTCATATCCATAACAACATTTCTCTCAAAAGAAAACCAGAAAAAGACAGAGAAACATGTTAAATTGTTCTTCTGTTTGCGCAAAATTAAAACAAAGATGCAATCCATAACTTTGACTTTGTTCTGTGGTTTCTGCATCTTGTTCGTACCTCTTGGTAGAGATCCGCAGGTCGAGTGAGAGTGCCGGTGCAGTTACTGATGCTGGGCTGACAGCAACTGACCGGGACACTGTTATTCTTGGATTCTTTAAACCAGCGCGTGTTCCTCCAGTCAGAGTAGTTGTGAATGCCGCAGCAGTGAAGCTAGAAAAATAGAGAGGGAAAGAATATGATATATTATAACTATTAGTCTGGAGTTCAGATCTGAATTCTGAGTACATTCATTAAATTCATTAAGATTCAAAAGGATTCATAAGAATTTAGCTGTTAAAAGTTGGATGTGTGGGGCAATAGACTTCCCTTCTTACCTGCCTCTGCACATAGTCAATAGCGCGGCTCGGGGCATCGGTGTTGGTGCCGTTGTACTGGTTGTAAACCTTCTGTATGGAGTGATTCACCTCATTTTCTACCTACAACAAAACCACAACATCAGTTAGTGTCTCTGCACATTTTTAAATGTTATCACTCAAGGGACAGTCTTTCACATTATTGTAAAGCTAATTTACAATGTAGGGCCTTAGAGTAACACTCTACACATGTGGGATTTGTAATACTGAACAAAGCAACATTCATTTATCCTAGTTTTAAATCCAAAGAAATGCTAAATATGTTTTGCTAAAATGTCTACTACAAATTCTACAAACTATATCCATCTTATCCTGCACTTATATAAAAGCCCAAAAACAATATCACGCAAAGTCTGGGATTTGACCAGATGCTGCACAACTTGACCCACTTTTCATTTAACTTGACTTGTGAAATACAAAAGTGGTAAAAAGCAACAGCGTGTTTACCTTTGCCCTGTATGTGTAGCCGAGCACCACCACCACGCACTCCGTGACAAATACCAGCAGGAGAATGGCAGCAAACTGGAATGACAACAAAGACATATTGTACACCGGCTCATGAAGCACAAAATTATTACTTCACATTGGTAGTGACATTTTTTTGGTGCCAATCAATTAACAGTTTCCCAGATTGTGTGTTGGGTTTTGTGTCGTCCTCTTGCCCTCCGTGCAACATAAAAGTTCCTCCGCTGCATCCAGCTGGTTTTAAGGGTGCAGGTGAAAACATTGCACACTCACCGTTGCCAGGCCGCAGGAGCTTTCACGTATTGTTGCACAGCAGCCAATCAGGCCGATGATGAAGAGAAGAGTCCCGACAGCGATTATTATGACAGCAGGAATCAAAGTGTACACGTCCTCAAAGAAGTGGTCGTAGTCGTCATATGTGATGAACACGTAGGCTCCGATGTAGCATAAAATCCCCGCAGCGGCCTGCAGAAAAACACAAAGCACAATCAGAAGCATGACAGGGGACTTTTTTTTATTGTATTCTCATCTGTGCATTTGACTCTTTTCTGTTTGTAAATAGTGATGATTTATTAATTTGCCAGTAGTCTAAAGCAAAATGGAGATAGAAATACGTAATAAAGAGAGGAACAGAGAAGAACAGAGGAGAACAGAGGAGAATAGAGGAGAACGAACTGTTACTGCTATTTATAGTTGTCTTGTTTTTTTGACTATGTCTCTGTGTGCACTCTGCCTTTGCTGCTGTAATCCCCTGAATTTATATTATTTGATTTAATTATTATTATCATTAATATCACCATGTAATGGTCTTCTTTTTTTTAAAGATAACCCGAATAGAGAATTATTTAATGCTGGTGTGCATACTGGTGTGTATGTATATATAATGAATACAACGTTAATAATACGTATATAACTCCATGATTCAACAGCTCAGCTATCGGCAGCTCCTGCATTACGTCATTGCGTCAGATACCGACACACTGCAGCTCGCTGCCTTCACAGGATTCTTTCCCCAATTGGTGCCCCTCACGTGGAGGGCTAAAGTGTGCCTTTGGGACCGTGCATGCTGTGCTTTGAACGGAGGGGGGGTGGGAGGTAATAAAAAAAGGCGCTCGTCCATCGCCAAAGCGCAGTTCGCAGCGCATCTGTGGCGCAGTTCGCTAGCGTGCTAAATGCTCCGCGTGCCTGCCGGCCTCGCGGGGATGCTGCGCGCATTGTTCACACAACCCGGCGGTTTTCTTACCCAAAATATGAGATTGAGAAAAACCAACACGGTTTTGGATGACGTAATCCCGCACTGTCCCATGGTAACTCCGAACATGAAAAGTGTAAATATAAAAAAATATATATTTTGATGCACCTGCACTTTTGCTGGTATGATAATAAAATGGCTCCGCTGGTCCTGCCTCAAAGTGCAGATTCCTCAGGGCTCGGCCAATGAAATCGCCTCAAAAAACAAGGAGGAAAAAAAAGGTCACGTGCTCCAATGACGTCAGCGTTCAAAACAATCTGTGATGGAGTATATTTGGACATATAGTCCAAAGTAGTGTTTTTCGTACTGCATACCAATGAATAACTGCACCTCCAGATGTTATCTAGATCCACTGCCTGTCTAGTTGATCGTTTTGGGGAAGAAACAAAAGTGAATGTGATGGGGGTTTTTGCCACAGGATGGCACTGTAGTATCATTGGTTTTATTCTGATATATAATGAGAGGAAGGTGTATCAAAGTGGTCAAAACATCCTACAGCCACAAGATGAACTTCACAATAACGACAAACATTTGACGATATCGAGTCCAAATAAAACAAAGAAGTACACATACACATACAAGCCCGTGGTAGAAATCAATGAATGCAATATGCCCCGGCTTTCTTAATCTCCTATGAAGGTTGAGATAGATTACTTGATTGAAAATGTGTATCTTTGGGGCGCTCACTCCATAATGACCTTTATTTGTTTGTTTTTATTGAGTTAAAGCTCAAAACATTTGTCTCTGTTGTTCAGGGAAAAGCCGAGGCAAACAGTGTTAATACACAATGCAATAGTGTGAATTATACATCAGTGTAGTTAAAATTACCCTAGTTAAGTTTAGAGCTTGGCTTCACTTACTGGTAAAGCAAAAGGCCTTTGTTGTGTTTACACATGCTTCACCTGTTATACACATCAGATTAAAACAGAATGTTTATTCATTTCAATGACAAGCCTTCATAATTGTACTGTGCAGGAATGCAAATTGAGATTCACCATTGTCTGGTAAACATCAATGTCCCCTACTGTCTGTTGTGTTTGTTCAAATCAAAATAATCTCACAAATGGCATCTACAGGCAAAGCTTAAATTAATAAAACACAAAACTGTCTGACAGTGACAGTGAAGCCAAAAGGGTCCAACGAAGCGTCGGCATGAACCAGTTGAAGAACTTGTAGACAATAAAATATGGTGCTGTTTTCTTTCCTCGAAATATGAGCAAACAAAAGAGATTACTGGTCCCTTAATGAAAAATATAAATGTTTCACACGGCAGTGAGCTGGATAAGGCGATTTAAAAAAAATACATAGGTATTCAAATTCACATTTAACCTTTTTAAGATAAACAATATACGGCATAAGCTGGCCAATGTCTCTAATGGATGCACCAGCATTTAACGTAACTGATGCTGCTGAATGTTTTATCTGTTATTCTGGTAATTTACTGTGTTGTTATATGCTGACAATTATCTAACAATTATTATTAACACTGCTGAACTAGTAAAACACATTAACTTTTCATTTGAACTATGTCTGAATCCCAAACTGATCTTGTAGGGACATTATAATGGTTCATACCAACAACAAAAGAATACAAAATTAAAAAAGAATTAAAACGAATGAGCGAATAACCTTTTCATATGCTGGAATTTGAAAATAATGGGTTTTTTTTTTTTTATCTTTAGCAAGCCCAAACCTTTCCTGTGAAATTGTAGACACGGAGCTATTTGTGTGTGTACAGAAAGAAGGATTATTGGATAAAAGTAAACAGCTGCTAAATTAAACCTCCCCAGGAGTGACACCCTCCTTCCTTAAGCTTAACACTCTGTAACCTGTTCGGATCTGCACTGCAGTCCTGAGAGGAAAGTTGTGCTCACTCATTCACACGCGCACACAAATGAATCATCACGCTATCAACATATTGATCTGAACTGTGCGACAGATTAATCACATGTTGCCAAACATTTCCAGTCAGTTGTTGGAAGAAACAATATTTGCATTTGAGTAATACCTTTCCCCTCACTGTTACACAAGAGCACATATTATGGCCATGTGCTATCTGTTTAAATAATGCTGATTTATTATTGGACAATAAAATTGTTGTAATTGTTTTCTCACTGTGAAGACAAAGGAACAGTTTGTACTTTCACAGGTAGCCAAAGAGAACTATGTCATTACGGACTATTTTTTTTCGTAGCCTAAAGAGCAGGCTCATTTTTTCAAGCCTAACTAATGTTTTGCACTTGAGCGCTACAGCTTTGGCAAAACAAGGTTTGCTTAAAATATGTATTTTTTATAGAAAAGAAAATATATATTTTGGACAATTTTACCAGAACAATTATTAATTCAACGGAGCCACAAACTACGCACAAAATGGTGATAAATAAATATTAAAATCAACATTAGAGCATTTATAAACATATTCATTTCAGGACTGCTGTATTGGATCGTATTCCTTTTTTGGTTTCCTATTTGGTCAAATTTAATAGTGATATGTTTAATATAATAATAATATGCAATTCAGTGGATTAAAGTATATGAAGTATTTCCTCACACCTTTGAATACTGTGAATACAGATGTAAAGCATCAGTCAAGGTTTATGGGAGAGATATTGAAATAGCCTTCCCTTTATCTGCAATGTCTGAGCCCAAGGCAAAGAATGGGCCGTCTCACTATCGATCGAGAGAATCATCCCTTTATGCCTTTTACAAGATGCCTACACTTGGATTTATATAAGACTTATTTTGGAAATGTCTTTTGTACAAAAGTATAACAAGGATTACTCATCCTTAGCATATAGTGAGTGTGGAGGTAAAATGTATATCAGACCCTTGTGAAGGCAAACAGGAGCATAAGTTTTCAAGCCATTATCTCAAATACAGAAACCGACCTCTGGTCGTTTTTACACCACGTGCACTGATGCCCCAGTGAGTCACGTGCTTCCCAGTAAACGTCTATTCTGCATTTCTCTACCAAGAAACACACAAGAAGCCAGTGGAGGAGCCACCATGAAGCATCTCTGTGAGGGAATCAACACGTTAACCATTAACATCTTATCATCTGACGCAGATCAAAGTCACAGCAGTGCAAATAATGATTTCATTTATTATAAATAATTTTGAAATACAAGACAGAGTGAAATATCATTGGGGGGGACCGTTACGTGTATTGCAGATGAGACAGTTACAGTAAATACAATCGTGATGAGCAGGAGACTGTACACTGCGTCTAATGCAGTTATTTTAACCCCCTCCGGTTCGATGACCCGCAGCCCGTGTTCATGCGTGACGGACATCATCTGTCTCACTTTCTGCGTTGGATGTAGCTTTCTAATATCTTCATCAACATGTCCGCCTCCTGAAACAGAGACAGGCCACGTGCCACCAATTAAACATCCATTGTTAGTGCGTTTCCCACTGGGCCAAAGGCGACTGCTCGCGTGTGTTTGATCACCTGGCTGTCCGAGCTCCTCTCCCGTGTATCCACCTGCGCTTGCAACGCCCCCCGCAGGAAGTGATGGAAAAGCTCCAGGAGGGCGCTCTGCTCCACGGGGAGGCTGAGCTCCAGCGCATCGTCATCGGCCGGCCCCTGAGCCGGAGGCAGCAGCGGGGCGTCCATCACGCTCTTCTTGCCCATGAAATGTCCTGCCAAATCCGAGACAAAGCTCGTGAACATGAAAAGTCAAACCAAACGGAGAATAAACCTTTTTTTTCAAGACACGATAAAAAGCAATGGCGTTAAGTAGGAGATGGAAGTGTGGAACAAATAGTAAATCAGGTGAATTGTATTCCATTCCATGCAAAAATCAGACGAGCTTTCTTACCTGTGGCCCAAAGATTTCCTCTTGGATTCACCTTGATTTTTGCAACTTTATTCCTGAGCTCGGCCAGATCCAAACTGACTGAACCGGTGCAGGACACGAAAGACAGGAGGATAAGACAAGCAAATAAGCCGCAGTGGCAAACTGTATTCAGCGTAAACCCTCTCATCTCGGCGCGGAGTGGCGAACTGGGTGCAAAGAGTCCGATCTGTGTCCTGTTGGTCGTGGATTTCGTGGATTGCTGACACGCACCCAGCTTTTATAGGCTCTCCTGTGCGGGGAGGGCTCTGCCTGTGCTGCGTGTAGTTAACTTTTGATCAGCTGCTTAAATCACCCGCGTCATTGTCACGGTTTTGTTGAACCAAGCCTTTGGCTGTGCGTATTTACGCACCAAATGTTTTCTTTGTTGCTCTCAGGATATAATGCGGAATCAGTCTTTTCTCGGACGCCAACTTACACCATTTACCATCGCGCAAATGTCCAGTGTGGTGTCATTAATTAATGTTTCTCCAGGTTGGGGGATTCAAACGTTTTTGTTGGATACATCCGGCTGAATTTATTCTTTCAGGAAATTCCCCCCCAAATAAATGCATCGAGCACTCACACATGGATAAAAGCTTCATGAACACATCAATATTTTGGGGAGTCTGCGCACTTTTGGTGTAAATTGTGAGGCGATATTTTCTGCTTCCCGGTGGAGCAACACAATGAGTCCCTCAACCCTCCCCCCGTTGCTGGGCTCTGACCCCCTAACAATGAGCCACATGACATTTGGCCAGTTTGCAGCATGCCGCTGTGATCGCCATCAGGAGAACCTGCTGATTCTCTCTGCTAATTTAGAGCTAATCAGACAGTCAGTCTCGTTGTCACTTCAGGGTGCTAAAGTTGCATAAGAGCTTCAGTTTGCATCTTGCCCTTTGCATAACCTTTGGTATTCACACACACACACACACACACACACACACACACACACACACACACACACACACTTGTGATTTCAGACGGTTAGGGTGAGTTGAATGTCAGTCTAATTAGAAGACTGTCTGACCATCAAGGCATCACTCTCGCAAACTTCACAGATTAGATGAACTGAGACAGACACGGTTTTGTGCAAAACTGCATTTTCCTTAAAAAGCCTGATGATATCACAACTCATTTACGGGGTTATTTAGTGTTGCTATTTTCAAGCAGGGACCCACTAAACCATCAATTGATACTTGATGAACAACATAACTATCAAAAGTTGATCAAAAAGCATTTTTAGGAGACTTCTTGATATTTAAACTTCCCCTTGCCCTTCCCCTGCGTATAAATGCTCCAAAATACAGGCAACAAGGTCTTTGGGGACTAAAGGAGACTTACAAATTTTAATCAAGGAACCCCAACAGAGTTTCACGTGAATCAATATTATGGTTCTACTTTGATTCTTACTGCTTTATGATTACTGCGTTGGAAAGCCTCAGCCAATTTACTGTTGATAGCAAGGTTAGTTTCAGAGTGCTGCCGCTGCATTAAAGGGAAAGAGGTTCACACTCGACATGTCTAACGAGAAGCTCAGGCCACTTAAGGCAGTGTGCACGCCGCACCTTTGCTCAGGAAAGTTATAGCAAAATAAACACATCTTTTATATTACACCAAAATGTGGAAGCAACTAATTTTAGCTATATTTGGGCAAATCCCCCCTAATTTGCGCTTGCTCCTGGTTTGAAAGGGCATTTAGCTTTATGAATTAGAAAAAGAAAAACATGTGGCATGAAATCGTCACCACAGACATCTGACTTCAAGGAACTTTATTTTAATGTTTTTTCTTTACATTTTCTATCAAAGAAGGCATTGCTCAACATTGTTTAGGATAAGTAACCATCCGGGAAAAAGCTTTCCAGATGAGATAATGCTCCCTGAATAGGATTCTGTAATAATAGAAACAGATGTAGGCACGCCAATCATGTGACAAATCCTGTCATGACATTGATACTGTTGCTGGATCATCCAGTATTTATTTTTTATATAAATTCCATTACTGCAGGGTGAACAATGGCTTTTAATGTAACACAGGGACCAAGAGAAAATGAGACAGAGTTAAAATAATCTATTGTGGATCGAAACCGTTTTTCATAAAATGCATCACATATCTTTTCAATGACAATGAATCAACAGGAAAAAAAACTGGTTCATCTTGATGAATGCCGTTTCACATTCTCAGGATTACAAATACAGATAAATTCAAAACTAGATGTAGCCTGACTCCTCACAAAATATTTTTAAAGCTTGAATTTTTCAAATGTAAAACACCCTATCCACATTTCTACAAAATGTTCACACAAATGGTACAAAAAAGCCAGTTGGGTTTGACAAAATCTAACTTAATTCTGTTTCGAAAGGCATGCGTGAGGTTTCCTGGACGTGGTTTGTCTTCTTTGAGTTGTGAAGTTTGGGCATCTCACTCTCGATGGACCAACACAAAGAGACCCAGCATGAAGAGAACAGCATACTGCGGAATGAAAACAACATTTTTAACAAGTTAATGGTCACGCCGAAAGTGTTCAAGCTTAAAAAACTAAGCAAATCGTGTAATTAGTGCTCATGAGTCGACAAACTTACTTTGAATTTGGGGTAATCATTCATGAGAATGGTAACAATTCCAATGTACGGCACAAACCTGGAGATTAAAACAAAGTTATGGTCAAGAGATTGCATCATATACGTCACTTTTTAACGAATAATGTTTTCTACTAGGTCTAAAACTTCAGTCATGAATTGAGAATTTATGGGCAAAATAAAGAATCCAATAAGAGCAGAAATGAAAAATCAGCAGTGAATTGATGAAACTTTTTCTAGTATAGCATGTCAACATAACTGTACTAAGCCTCAAATAATTGTTGGATTTTTACAATCATTTGAAAAGCCAATGTTACAAATTCAGTAACAAAATAGATGCTTTTCCATCAGCTGGTTAAATAAACTTCTGCCACAGCAAGAGGCTGTTAAGAGACGTTCTTCTGTTTTGACTAATATAAGATGATGACGGAGACGGTTCAGTAACGGGTCTCTTAAATTCATCATGAGGCGTGTCTGATAAACCCCGCAGTTCCTCAAGTCTCCGGTTTCTGTGTCTTGCTTTCTTTTTGGGTAAAGGGAAGCGGGTCTTTCTACTGTGGCCGTTTGTACTGTGGCGTCCTCGGCCCGGTACCCGAGGCTGGAACGGTTAATCTGTGTTGCATATTAGCTTTTTGAGCCGCAATCTACGTTCACTTAAAGTCTTGGGCCACTTTTTTGTTACATGCCGCCTACTGAGCCGATTTGTGAGGAGCAGCTCTATCATTTGGGATTTAGGTGTAGTTGCAAAGACAAACTTAACAGTGCAGCTGTGTGGCATAAAATGAGAAAGATTAGAAACAATTTAGCCCTAAATCGCTATTCATTATTTGATATTATTTATTCTCTGTGGGTGATGGTGAAATTCATATTTCCTGCACACTCACACTAGATGTTTGCATAAAAAGTGAGAACAGATACTATCTATTGTTCAGCTTTCCCAACAAGCATGTCCCTTGTGTGCCTTTTCACACCTCCTTGCATCCTTGCGTGTGTCGAGTCCATTTTTCTAGGCTTGCGTCGCTTTCGGCGCAAGCAACGCAAGCCTCCCGCAGCGCACGAGGCTGCGATTGGTCCGCTAACTACATCCTTTACGGACTCTCACATTTCCGCTTTCATAGCCCGATACCGCCATTATTAAAACGAAGATTGTTTACGAGAGAACGGATCAGATTTAAGAACTTTTGTCGGAAGAAAGCGTAAATATGACCGCTTATACACGCCGTCATTGGCGGGTTGTAGAAGCGGGTTGGATTCACGGAGGGAGATCGCCGCAAACGCCGGTTTGCCAGTCGAGAGGTGCACAAAGTTGTGGAGGAAAATACTGGACAAATGTGTCCGCGATGAAAAGCAGCAGTGGCGATGCACGGGGCAATAAAGTCTATGAACTATATATATTTATCTAAATCTAAATAAACAAATAAATAAATAAATAAATAGACGTGACTCTCTAGGTCGCCTTCAACAAAAACACGTTACTCCGCCTGTTGTTCTGGCGGTAAATTGCTCTGCAACACACGAGTGCGTTGACGCAACGACGCAGAAGCATGCGTCGGCCTTAAGTCCTAGCTTGTTCAAAATAAATTGACTGGCAAAGGTAATAGAACTATAATCCCCAAATCTTAAAAAAGATGGGAAATTGGGGCTTTTTGCATATGACCTTCTCAGTTTGACACCCAATGAGAATTAAAAAGTGCTATTGAGACAAGCCGCCACCAGCTGCCGATAGAGATATTTTAGTTATACTACAATACGGGAAATTTTCGGTCCCATTATTTTATGAAGATATCTTAATATCTTAATTATGCAATTTTATTCCCAAAAGTGTACTTACCCCCTAGCTCGTCCCACCACGTCTTTTTTCTCCAGCCAGTGCTGTCCCTGCTTGTAAAGTCCTCTGTCGTCCACTGCATTGTTGTCCCCTTTGGTCAAGAACTTAATGTCTCCATTCTCCCTGTGGAGAAAGTATCAGTGCGATTTTAAATTGCAGCAAACACCAAGTCCTCACTCTCAAAACACCTCAGTCTGGATAAGGATGAGGTCTCTGTGAATGTCCAGATGACTTTTAAGAACTATGAATGGCATTCTCAGGTTTTACACACAGACACGGGACTCTGATACTGAAAGGTCAAATTAACCACGGCTAACACTACCAATAAAGTGTGTGTTCATACTTTTCATGGATCTTTAGTACTCTGTGTACTATTGGGATCTCTCTGCCCTCTATCCTGAAGACGACAATCTCTCCGACTCTGATGGGATCCTCCACCCGGTTGGTCAGAAACAGCAGGTCTCCTCTGTGGAAAGCTGGCTCCATACTCCCACTGAAATGAATGGCACATACCGATCATCAAAGTAGCTATTTAATACCATTGAGACCATTCATATATAGAACATATAGAATATGCAATGCCAATCTCAACCTTTCGTTTAACAGAAAATAGTGGTACTCGTCGCAACAATATGATCAACAGGTCCACCGCTGATCCCCTGCTTGTGCACATTGTCACGATTCACTACAGATTAAGGTTTTGTTGCAGAATTATGCTATTTCCGTCCAATATTTCTGCATTTAGTATAATAATGGCAAAAAGTTGACTTTTATTTAATGTTTTTTCTGTTTTCAAAGGTTTGGCATTATTAGGTA